ACGCTTCAGGTGGTAACAGGAACTGCCGCTTTATTTACGCGGGCTCTGGTTTATATATTCGGCCTTGACCAATCACAGGCTGCCACGAGGAAGCAGGGCGGGAATGGGACGCAGGCTCTGGCTAATATATCCAGCTGTGGCCAATCAGGGGTTGCCACAGAGTCAGCACGGGGCGAATACGGAGTGAGCACGAGGTGCGCACGGGTTGGCTAGTTTAGAGAGGGACATAACGCATTGCGGAAGCTGATGTGGTCTTATCGTCCTGGGCGGGGTGTGTTGAGCGCCTGCGCCCGACAGAGAGGGGTGCAGAAGGTTCTCTCCTCCCTATCAAGGGGCGCCGGGGAGCCAGGGCAGGGCCCTGATGCCCTCCAGCCCTGTCTGTGTCCCCCCAGTGTGCCCCTCAGAGGGCGAGATAACTGGAGACCCAGAGCACCCAGGACAATTCCGGAGCACTGTGATACTGGTACCTAGACCCCATCCCCCCCTTCCCATCTGGGGGACCCCCCCGGGAGGTCCCAGCAGCTGAGGGAGGCTCTGGAGAACCCTGCTGGACCGCTGGGGTCACAGGCAGGGCCCCCAGCTCTACTGTTTTAGTCTGGGTCTCATTGAGCAGTTCAGGCTGGTCTCTGTATCTTTTTCCCGGCCCCATCTGGACCCATTTCCTTCCTGTTTTAATCTTCTCTTTAGCACCAGGGACTGACCCTAGGGTCTCATGGGTCCTAGGCAGGTCCTCTACTGTGGTCCTATAGACTCCGCTGTTTGAAAACTCAGATTTTGACACAGAACCGAGATACACTGCCCAGAACGGCCTCGAACTTGGGGTCTGCCTGCCTCAGCCTCTCAAATAGTGGCACAAAGGCATGCGCCACCCTCCTTGGCAAGAATCACCTTCTCCAGGGTAACAAAATGAGCCAGGATCACACAGACTTTACGACCAAAGGTTTTGCAGAGTAGCTGCTGACCCCAAGTCTCCACTCTGGCAGAGCTGTGGACAGGCTTGCTGACGCGCAGTGGACCGGAGAAGACCCTGTGCCAGGATCCTGCTCGGCCTGGGGGTTATGTATGGGAGGACATGTAGGCAGTGTGTTATGGGGCGTTGCAGGGTCCCCCAAAGCCTCCTGCTCTTTCAGAGGCAGCTGAATCTCAGTGTGTGGCACTGGGATTAAGGCTGGGTGATTCCTAATCAGTCCACTGATTGGGTGGCACCGCCCTGTCCCCACAGCCTGGGTGCAGCAGACAGGACAGAGCGAGGCTGGGGCGTCTTCCTGCCTTCTGCCCAACACAAACTGTTTCTCCTCGAGATGCCCCCCAGCCCTGCCAGCCTGCTTGGGAGCCAGCAGATGAAGGACTAAAGCCAGCAGAACCTGGTCTCAGCAAAGAGAAAAGCAGCTGAGACACGGTGTGAGGCGAAAATGTGCGATGTTTACATTTTTAAATCATCTGTTACAGGAAAGACCTGCCAGCCCCTCAGAAGCCTCCCCGGGTCTGGAGCACCCACACTTCACCCCAGCCACTTTCTGCAGCAGCCCTGGGGGTCTCCACTCTAAGTGTCCATCCGACAGAAAGGCGGGTTTCTGGAAAGGAGGCCGGTGTCCTCACTGTGCCTGGTACTGGGTGACATCCGGCATCTGGCTCCCGCAGTGACCAAGGAAGGGGATGTTAGGACTGTGCTCAGGACACTGAGGCACCACACAAACCCGCTGAAGACCCTCAGGAAAGAGCACTGCAGAGCTGCTGCAGAAGCCAGTGAGGAGATGGGACCAGAGCATTTGAGGGGAGAGGTACTCGTGGCAATCTGTCTTTCGCTGTAGCGCATTTTAAATTTAAACATCAACCCTATCTTTCTGTCACCTTAGAGTCTTACTTTTCTCCTTGCTGAGATGAGACACCCAGCACCCAAAGTTAAGGCTCGGAAGTGTGTCTGGCTCATGGTTTGCAGGGGTTCAGTCCATTGCTGGTGGGCTCCAGGGCAGGGTGGCGTGGCAGGTGGCACTGCGCAGGAGAACAGGCCGTGGCAAAGGAGGGCGGGCGTAAGGCGGCTACAGTGAGGGAGCGAGCGGCAAGTGGCAAGCAATGACCCGATAAAATGTAAGTGTCCTTATGTTTTACCCAGGCCACCTGGCCTTAGCACAGGCAGGACACACACCCAGGCTGGGGCACCCTTAATCCTACCCGGAGCTATGCAGTCAGCACGGAGGGACTCACCGGCAGCTGCAGGAGGGTTCAGGTGACTGTCAGCAGGGCCCATGGTCCCACTGAAGCAGTTTTTGTTGTTGTTGTTTGAGACAGGGTCTCGCTCTGCAGTCCAGGCTGGCCTTGAGCTCACTTTGTAGCTCAGGCTTATCGCAAACTCCCACCGACCCTCCTGCTTCAGCCTCCTAAGTGTTCGGATTATAGGCCTGTGCCACCATACCCAGCGCCACTGAAGTTTTAATTTGTGCAACCCCAATGGGTCCATTGATTTTTTTGAGGGTCTCCTATGTAGTTCAGCTTGGGCTTGAGCTCACTTTGTAGCTCAGGCTATTCTCAAATTCCCAACGACCTTCCTGCCTCAGCCTCCTAAATTCTGGGATTATATGCCTGGCCCTAATCCCACTGTGGGAAGGACTTGTGACAACCCCAGCACCCCTAAATGGGTTTTTTCCCATCAGGCCTCCAGGCTGAAGGTCCGGCTGAATTCTGCCTGGTCTCTGGGTCCCCCCACCCCGAATCTGTGCCACAGTAAAAGGGTAGCCATGTCTGCAATCCTGTATCTTAGAATTTATGCAGATTTGTAATGCCAGCATGCAGGAAGCTGATGCAGGAGGATCACCTTGAGTTCAAGGCTGGCCTGGGATGCATAGTGAGATTCTTTTTCAGAAAAAAAAAAAATGTGATTTTTTCTTACATGAGAAACTCAAAGTATAAATAAGATAAAGAGCAGCCTGAGTGACAGGTACTAGGAAGCAGACAGGTCTTCTGAACGCAGAGAAGGGACCCAAGATGGGGGATGTGGAAGAATTAGGGCTGCAGTGCGTGTGAGTGACCACTGTGGCCGTCTGTTGTTGCTGTTGGGGTTTTCTTTGGTATCACGGATTGAACTCATGACCTCATGCTTACCAGGCAGGCGCTTATGCCACCGAGCTAAATCCCTGGCCAATGTGGCCGTCTGTATCCATCACAGGCATGGACTGACAGAAACAAACATTGGAAGGGAGCAGGGCCCACAGAGGCACGGGATGCTGTGCCCTGAGGAGGCTTCAGCCGCCCAGGCCGCCTGGCTGTAACCGGGCCAGGGCGAGGTCCTCCACACTGCAAACAAAACTGAAAACCAAGAGTGAACAGCGCAGGGGAATATAGTTTTTTTTTTTTCTTCTGTACGTTTTTACTCTTTTAGGGGGGCAGAGGACAAGGTGTCATTTTGGAGTCCATGCTGACCCCAGACTCGGAGCAACCCTCCTGCCTCAGCCTCCTGAGTGCTGGGATGACAGGTGTGCACCACCAGGCCCGGCGGGACTTTTAATAAGTGAAATCCCTCGGGGACACGGTTTGTGTGCAGCTTCCCCGGTCACCAGTGCCGATCTGTGTGGCAGTGGTTCTGCCACTCTTGGTGTCGCCTGGCATCTCACCGTGAGCTGTGCCACGACCCGGCTGTACCTCTCTCCTCCCTTACCCGCTGTTTCGCTCTCTAAACTCTACTCCTCGCCACTAAACATGGTGGCTACATATCCCCTGGAAAGTTCCAGAAATAAAACACCCCAGGTTTTAAATCACCCATTTTCTGAGCGACACGAGGAGGAAACCCCGCCAAGTCCTGCCTGCCCGGGACCTGCCCCCTGGCCCTGGGGTCCTTCGGTTCTGATTTCCATCTTGGCTGTCTGATCGCCGTCACCCTGTGTGTGGCCTGTGTGACCCTTAATCTTTTAATAACGACCCCAAAGTGCAAGGACAGGGACACCCAGAAGATCCCAGGGCCTCGGAATGGAGACAGAGCTGTCGGAAAAGCACAGAGACGGGTTTAGCTCTCCGTGGTGGAGGCTGGAGGTCCAGACGGGACGGCAAGGAGGAGGTCACTGGTGACACAGGAAGCCAGAGACAGTGGGTGGGAGCCAGGGCGGCTCCCAGATGGCTCCCCTCTTGTCACCGTGGGGGTCAGAGCATCCCCTAAAAGCCCCTGTGCGCAGAGCCGGAGGCTTGGCGAGGTGACCGGATCACGGGGTGCTGTGGACATGTGGGTGGCTGGTGGCTGCCTCTGGGGCGACTCTCCCTCTCCTCCCCCTGCCTCCTGCCCTGCACCAGGCCGTGGGCTGCCTGCTGCCTCTGCCTTGGAGCCAGCGGCCACGGGCTGGACTCCGACCCTGAGCCAGAAGAAACCCCTCCTGGTCCCTCTCTTTTCTCGGTTTACCGCACTGAAAGGCTCTGCCATGCAGCGGGGACTGGACAGAGCGGTAGGGTCCGTGTTTCCTTCCTTCTAACCGTTAGAGGAAAACCTTTGGTGTTTTGCCTTTAAAGCTGACGTTTTCTGCACGCTTTGCAAACTGTTCTCCATCAAACGAGGGATATGTCCTGTTTCAAGTTGTTGGGAATTTCACTCTGGAAGAACGTTAAATTTCTGTGTGCATTCACTGGATGATCACACCATTTTGTTCCCTTTTTGGTAGTGTTCTGAATGACATTGATTGACTTTTAAAATCTCTTAAAATTGTTTCCTGGAATAAACCCCACTTGGTCAGCAGCGTATGTTACTGAGAAGACCTGACTTTTAAAAAAAAACTCAGCCATTTTAACAAGAGTGTGATTGTGTATTGTTGTTTTCGATCTGAGTTTCCCAGGACTAAAGGATAAGATTGACATTTTTCATTCGCCTTTTCCCCATTTATTTTATCTTCTCTGGGGTGTGTTCAAATCTTTTGCTCCTTTAAAAAACTTCCTCAGTCCTCTGTTGGCTGTATGAGCAGCAAATGTTTTCTCACAATCTGTGACATTTTTTGATTCTTTTCACAAAAATACGAGAGGCAAAATTTAAAATTTTGAATGAAATCTAATTTATCAATTTTTTAATTTTATGAAATACACATTTTGTGTCAATTTTAAGAGTATTTTCTTATTCCAAAGATACAAGACCCCTCCCTTTTTTTTCCTCTAGAATTTCTATTATTTTACATTTTATGCTTAGCCCTAGAATTCATGTTGAGTTACTTTTGTATAACATGAGATAAATCTCAACTTGCTTGGCATACAGCTATCTGATTTTTCCCACCTTATCTGTTATAAAATCAAACATTTTGTTGTGGTTTTGGGGTTTTTTTTTTTTTTTTTTGTCTTTTTCGTTTTTATTGGTACCAGGGATGGAACGCACGACTGCCTGCTTGCAAGGCAGGCGCTTATGCCGCTGAGCTAAATCCCCAGCCCCCTGTTTTGTTTTTTGAGAGAAGGTCTGCCTATGTAGCTCAGGCTGACCTTGAGCTTACCTTGTAGCCCAAATTGGTCTCAGATTCACAATGATCCTCCTGCCTCAGCCTCCCTAGTGCTGGGATTACAGATGTGCAGGACCATGCCGGCTCTCTGAGGGATTTTTAAATGTACACAGTCCTGTCTTGTGTGTGGACAGGCAGATCCCTTTCTTTCCTGCATGCCTTGTGCCCCTCTGTTCGATCCCTTAGTGAGGCTGAGTCGGAGAAGTCAGAGCGCACGTCCCAGCTCTGGTTCTGATCTTAAGGAAGAATGTTTAGTTCTTCCGAACTAAATATAATCTGACACCGAGCCCCAGGCCAACGGGCTGCTTTCCAGGGCTTTAGGAAGCAGAATGGAAGTAACAGCACAGTGCAGTGTGTGACTGTGGATCATGTAAACTGCAGAAGCTGAGAAGATTCCAGAAGGCACAGAGGATATAGTAAACTATTCACATTCACTCATTGTGTGACATCTTCCTTTGCATAGATGCATACAGTTGTGTTGTTTTGTTTTGTTTTGTTTGAAATAGGGTCTCACTTTGTAGTGCAAGCTAGCATTGAGCGCCCTATGTAGTTCCAAGCCGGCCTCCAACTTGTGGTGATCCTCCTGCCTCAGCCTCCCAAGCGCTGACATGACAGGCCTGTGCCACCATGCCTGGCTTTGGGCATGTAGTTTCAAATATCAGTAGATTCATGAGATCTGTTAGGAGAAACTGAAGACTTCTGTCCTGAATTCCCAAATTCCTAAACGTTCACACACATGCGCGGGTCTGCACACAGGCTTCCATTTCGGGCATGGTCTGTCCACCTGCCAGAGCAGAAGGTGACAAAGTACCTGCCTCTCTCCTCCCACACCAGCTCCGCCACCCAGTAACCCTCCTCCCTGTCCTACATTTCCCCCAGTGCCTTCCAGGGCTCTTAAATCGTAACAGGGGCTGGCTCAGGCTTAAAGTTTGCTTTATGATTGTTCCTCTCTGCCCCTGCAGCGTGCAACACGGCTGTCTATTTCTTTTCTTTCACAGACTTTTGCTGACCTGGCGGTCATCCTGCCTTATAATTTTCACGAATTCATCCTAAACTCTTCCCCAACTGCATGAACAGCTTCCTACCACATCTAAGCACCCCATTTAGTGCCTCGGCTACAGCTTCTGGGACAGTTTTTGCTTTTTCCAGATCCTTCTAGTTTGTTCCAGACTCTCCGGGCTGACTTCTGGTCCTGTTGGATTCTCTCTTCGCTCGACACCAGCAGAGCCCCCTTGTCTGTCTTCTCTATTTGTCTCCTCCCCTTCCTTCCTTCGTGGCTTATTTCCTTACTTTGGTGGAATGATCTGCTAGTGAATTCCCCAGACTGTATAGAAGCTAAAGTTTCCAGTCTATGTCTGCAATGCCTTCTGCCCGTGCTACTGTTTGATAATTTAGCTGGGTATAGAAGTCTACACTGCTCCACGCTGAGGCTGTGGCTTAGGGTTAGCGAAAGTGCTTGGCATGCAAGAGGCCTGGATTTGTGTCCAGCACCCAGAACGAAAGCAAGGATCCCATTGAAAGCTGAGGGTGAAGGGCTGGGGATTTAGCTCAGCGGCGTAAGTGCCTGCCTTGAAAGCAGGCAGTCATGAGTTCAGTCCCCGGTACCGATAAAAAGGAAAAAGACAAAAAAAAAGAAAAGAAAAGAAAAGAAAGCTGAGGGTGATGTGCACCCCTGTAATCTCTGCGTTTTTGAGGCTGATGAAGAAGAATCACCATGAGTCTGAGACCAACCTGAACATACAGCAAAACTGTTACAAAAAAGAAAATCCCATGGAAAGGATTTGCTTCACTGTCAGCTTGTGCGGTGACACTGAGGGGTCTGATGCTATTCTGATTTTTTTCTAAAACCCAATTTATCCTTTTCTGTAAGTTTGTATGACCTTTTATCCTCCCATGACCAGAATTTCAGTGTAAAGCATCCTAGTGGAAAAACAGCTTCATTCCTTTTGCTAGATTTGGAAGACATTTTCAATTTTTTATCATTTAATTCAAAGAATTTGACTGGAATAACTTATTTGCTGATCACATCCTCTTTCTATTTTCTTTATTTTTTTCCGTTTCCTCTAGGATTCCTATCTGCAGTTCAGGCTGGCCTGGAACCCAGCATGGAGCCCAGACTGGCCTCAAACTCACAAAATCTCAGTGATCCTCCTGCCTCAGCTTCCAAGTGCTGGGGTCACAGGTACGTACCACCGCGCCCAGCCCTGATTCCTCTTATTTGGATGTTAGATCTCTGAGAATGATTTTCTGATCTTCTTTCTGGGGTGCTGGGACTTGAACCATGCTACACACGTGCTCCGCCACTGAGCGCCCACCCTGGTCTTCGTTCCCTAATTGTAACGTCTTTTCTTTCCTAAGCATTGTTGTTTCATTGTTCGCCTTCTGGGATATTCCTCGTCTCCCCTCTTATTTCCCAACCCCACCAGTAAACCTTTAATTTATTCTAAGAAGGCAATAAGGGCCCTTTTTAATAACATTGTGTTCTTCTTTAATGTGTGGTACATCTCCGTACTGATAACCTTTTGGCATTTCTTCTGTTTCCTCCGAGGGCCTTTTCACCTCCTCTCTCCCATTCTTCTGTGTCGGAAGCTTCCCTCACGTGCCCGAGCACTTTGGCTTTTGCACTGGAGGCTGCTGGAAAGCTCTGAGCTCTGAGCGGCCCGCTCCGCAGGTTGGGGGATACAGCCGGGCTCCCCGAGCCAGCACCTTGAGTCCTTCTCTCCTGCCGACCTCCTCTGTTTGCAGTGAGAAGTCTGGGCCTGCTGCGAGTGCTGGAGACGCTGCCCTGGCACGAGGGGAGGGACTTTGGTCCTGACCACTCTTTAAATTCTGTCCACACATTCCGGCTCTCTCCTGCCTTCTTACCCCTACAGCAGCTGAGCCTTGGGGCTGCCTCGGTTTCCCCGCCTCGCTGCTGCCCTCCGCTGGCTGCTTTCCAGCTGCAAATCTGCTTTGCTGCTGGGTCGCGCCCGTGTCTTTGCTGCTGTGATACTTGGGAAACCACTTTTCTGTCATTTTAAACGGTGGTGCCAGTGGTGGCAAGAAACAGGGGCAAATTCTGTCTGTGCTTAATCTGCTCTCTTTAACCAGAAATTCTTCTTTTTGGTATTTCAGAAACTCTACTTTTTGGTATTTCCTAAAACTTCATTTTGTCTTTAGTCATTTTCATCAGAGCTTTGTTTATTTATTTGGCAGTTTTTTGTTTGTTGTTTGCATGTTTGTTTTGAGACAGGGTCTTGCTGTGTAGTTCCCACTGGGTTTGAAACTCACTATGTAGCCCAGGCTCTCAAACTCATAGTGACCCTCCTGCCTCGGCCTCCCAGAGTGCTAGGATTACAGGTGTGCACCGCTGCGCCTGGCTAACCAGTTTTGTCTGTTTGTTGCTGTGCTGGGGAGTGCACTCAGGATCGGCAAGGGCTCTCCCACCTGCCCAGCCCCATCCCGGCCTCTGAGGCCTCCATCTCTTGGCTCTGTCCCCTGCCTTGGTTCACGGCATCTGCATCTTCGTGTCTTCCAATTGGTTTTGCTGCGGCTGTCACTGAAGACTGCTGTTGGAATTCTCCGCTGTGAGCTCATGGGCAGGGCCTGCAGTCTGTGGGAACCCGGGGCGGGGGTCACTGCCTTCTTCCTCACCAGTGTCTCGTGTATCTTTCCACCCGTGGCCCAGGGACCTTCTCTTGGGACTCGAACCGCTTGTCAGGCAGGCGCTTGTGCTGCTGAGCCACATCCCCGGCCCTCCTGGGATCTTTCTTGTGTGAATTTCTGGCTTTGGGAGCCTGCAGAGCCTGCAGGGGAATGGGAACACCGGTCTATATGTAAACCCCAAACCTTTCCAGGGCTGGTTTTTGGTTAAAGTCCTGAGCTGGCCATGCTGGTGCAGAGGCGCCGCCCCCGAACCCACCAGAGTAGGGAGCTGCACCTCCTGCCCTCCGGGGACCCAGTCCCGGCCACAGGGCCCAGACACGGAGCCCAGCCCCGCAGGGCCTTCCTGGTGCTGGGACTCCCGCTCCTTCCTCAGCCCCTGCTTTGTCTCTGTCCCCCTGGAGCTCCCTTCCTTTCCTGCAAGCCCAGCCATGCATTTAAAAGGATGTTTGTTACATTTTCCTTCCCGTTTGCAAGCAGGGCTGGTTTTTTTTTTTTTTTTTTTTTTTTGGGTAGAAGGGTTTCTGCAGTATCGTTGGAAATGGAAGCCTTGTGGTTTTGGATGCTGTTGTTTTTAAAAAAAATATTTTGTGCATCTCCCCACAGCACAGCAAGGACAGAGAGAGGGAGAGAGCAGAACGTTAGGGAAGGAACAAAACTGACACGTTTCTATTTGGGGACATGGCCAGGCAGCCCTGCCCTCTGGAGCAGCTCATGCTTTGTCTTTTGGGGGTGCTGGACACGGTGCCTGGGGTCTCACTGAGGCTAAGCCCGGCTAAGCTCTGCCACCTCCCCATGCCCTGGAGCGTGGCCCAGCCGGAAGCTGCTCCTGCCTAATGTCCCTCGTGCCCCAGGCTTGCCAGGCATCTGCAGACCCGAAAGCATGGTTGAGGGGGAGACACCTGCCCGCCCTGGAGGAAGCAGGGCTGCGCCTGCCTCCTTGGGATTTTGCAACATTAAGGAGCTGTGAAGCGGCTTTGGGAAACAGAACCTTCAGTCCCTGTGCTCCTCGGTCATCCCCGTCCCCAGCTGCTAGGGACACAGAGGTCATTTGGGTTAAAATGACCTGGAATTGGCCATCCCAGGAGCTCAGCCTACCAGACGGGAAGAGCAGGTTTCTGACAAGGTGAGAGCCTCTTGGTTCTGACAGAAGCTTAAATCCGCAGGAAAAGCTGGTGCTAACAGTGTGTGTATGCCCACGGCTGGACTGAACTGTGTAGGGTGGTGCCCTGGGGGTCAGAGGGACATGGAATATCTCCAAGGTTGCCTCTCAAATGTGCTGTGAGCCTAAAACTGCTCAGGTCAGACTTGAATTCACTATGCAGCCCAGGCTGGCCTCCAATACACATAGACCCTCCTGCCTCAGCCTCCCTAGTGCTGGGATTATAGGCATGCACCACCACATCCCATTTACATCAGATTTCAAAGATGTAGTACGACAGACAACTCTCTTCAAGCATGGCTCTCGCTGCCCCCGTTTCTTGGCCTAAAGGCTGAGACATGATCGTCCTCCTGCTGTTGCCCTTGGGCAGGGCTGGATGGGATAAGGGCTGGGGGCTCCCAGGCAGGGGGGTGCCCACTGAGTGCCCACAACCGTCACGGGCAGGCAGGACAATGCTAAGCACACAGGCACCTCTGCCAGCTCTAGGTCAGCAGCTGTGGGTTTAGGTGGCAGCTCTGCCTCTTAAGAGCTGGCTGCCTCTACTGCACTGACACTCTGTGCCTCATCTCCAATAAATGGGCACTCCTGTGTCCCTCAAGAAGCCGAGTGGTTTGATGCTTTAAAAAATAACAAACATGCACATAATCCCAGCACTTAGGAGGCTGAGGCAGGAGGATTGCTGCAAGTCTGAGGCCAGCCTGACCAGCCTGAACTACACAGAAAGACCCCTATGTTAAACAAACAGGACATGAAGATGCTTGACCCAGCCCCTCTTCCCAGCCCTCAGTCTTGTCCCAGGATAACCCTTGTCCCAGGATAAGTGTCCCTGACAGGCTCTCTGGCTGTCTGTCTTCTCCATTGGGCAGAGTGCCAAGGCCAGGCCCTGGTCTGCCTCCTCCCCAGTGCCTGGCACACAGCAGCAGCCAAGACCTCCGTGTCTGCTCAGTGAGTCGGGTGTCCACACCACTGGCTTCTTCCACTTTCGGCTTTTAAAACGATTTGCTTTCTGCCTCTGCACCAGTATCGTCAGAGTGAGTAGGGCAGCCAGGGGCTTGGCCGGATTTGAGAGCTACTGCCGGCCTCATTGGGGGTCTCTGAGTCACGGGGGAGGGGGGGTGTGGAGCGGTGGAGGTGAGTTACTGGGGCAGGGGCTGTAGCTCCCCCAGGACCTGGGGAAGAAGCAGACTGCAGGAGCGCCCAGCCACCAGCCCATCCCTGTGTAGAACTCTGCCCTGCTGCCTCTGCTCCCCCTTCTTTTGGGCCTGGCAAGCGGCCCCGGGAGCCCTTGGCTACAGCCCTTAGGTGGAAGTGCCTGCTCACTTCCGGTGGCGCTCTTGCCAGCAGGAGACCGGGCCTCCATCCTGCAGCTGGGATCCGAGGTGGGCCAAGGGGAGGCGCTGTGGCCCAAAAAGTGTCTGCAACACTTCCTAAAATTCCTAGACACGGAAAGCGAAACCTGGGTGTGAAGATAACGAGACCTACAGTGAAACTGGAGGGCTTGGAGCAGAAAGAAGGGGCTGCATAGGGCTGGGGATCTGCTGGGTCTGTGACGCCTCTAAGACTCCCAGCGACCCCAGAGCGGATCCCTGGCGGACACTCGGGGCTGCAGGAGGTGATTGCAGAGGACACAGGCGCTGCTCAAAGCCGGCAGCGCAAACGCACCGACCTCACGGTCAGGGAGACACAGAATGAGCAAGTGGGTGGCAGCTGCGGACACAAGGCCTGGAGGGTCTCACTGCATCAGCAGAGCAGGAGCAGCGCCCTCTTCCTCCATCAGCTGGAAGCCCCCTGCCGCCCTCAGTCCTTTGATCACATGGGTAGTGAGGCGCCAACACTGCTGACCCTTAAAAGTAACTGGGTTATGGTTTACAGAGAAAATGTCCCGCAAGACTCACTTGGTCGGGGCTGGGGATTTAGCTCAGCGGCATAAGCACCTGCCTTGCAAGCAGGCAGTCGTGAGTTCGATCCCTGGTACCGATAAAAACGAAAAAGACAAAAAAAAAAAAAAAAAAAAAAAAAGACTCACTTGGTCCCAGCAGTTCCAGAGAGAGGTGACCAGGTCATGAGGGCGCTGAACCGCTCTGGATTAAGCATTGACCTACTCCTGGGGCAGGGTATGGGCTTACTAGGAGGCGGGGCTCTGCGGGATGACGCAGACGGGGGCGTGGCTTCAAGGCATCAGGTCTGTGCCCCGCCTTCCCCTGGATCTTTGCCTGACACTCAGATTTCTCGGCCACGCCCCTATGCCCTGGTGTCCCAGCGTCACCACAGCCCTGGCAGCGGTGCAGCCAGCTGATCCCAGCCTGAAACCTCCAAAACCGTGAGCAAAGGAAACCTCTCCTCTCCAATTTATCTTGGGTATTTTGGTACAGCAATCGAAACCTGACTAAGCTCAGGGGTACACTTGTTGGGTGACCGCACAACCATAAGGACCTGGAAAGACTCAGCTGCTGCCCTGAGTCATGATCGAGGTTGGGGAGACGAATGGTCAATTCAAGGTCAAAGTCAAGGTCGCAGAGAGGCCCATCCTGCCTTCCCCACTCTCAGCTTGCAGCCCTGCGCTCCGCTTTACTGCCAGCCCCTGCCAGCTTTGAGGGACAGCAGCGGTGAACAAGGGGGGACCCCTGCCCTAGGGACTCACAGTTTAGAGGTAGAGAGGCATCCTCCTACCCCCAGTGGATGAAACCGAGGTCCAGCCGTGACGTGTGGGGTCCTGGAGGGCTTCTCGGAGGAAGAGCAGCTGCACGTTCACCCCCAGGCCACGGGGCCCCAGATGTGAGCTTGTGGCACGGACCAGACTCCGATGAAACCCTAAGAGACTGCTTGGCAAAGGCCACTGGCAAACCCAAGTTTACTCTGGCTCATTTGCATATCATTTGCATCTATCTGCATATGTGGTGGCACAGCCCGGTCGCTTATGCATTTAAATAGCAAGTTACTTGTTCTCTGTGAAAGCTCTCATTTTCCCCCCAGGGGGAGTTGGCTCCATTTCTCCTGCCTGCCCTTCAAGCCTGGCACTGCCAAGCCTGCTCCGCATCAAGCTGGGTCACGGGTTTGGGGACATAGGACCAGTCTGTTATTCTGGTTTTCAGGGTGCTGTGTTATTGTGAAAGAAGGCTGAACCCCTGGATATAGGGGGAGTGTCAGGCATGTGCACCTCATGAAACATGGGGAAAATGAGGCAGGGAGCGAGTGTGAGGCGCCCAACCTCACTTACCATGTTGCAGACTACACCAAGGTCAGAGGCCAGGGCTCCCGATTTCTGATCCCACCTTAGGAAGGTCTTGAGAGGTCACCTCTTGCTGTGCATGATAAGAGAACCAGAGTGGGGCAGGGTCTCAGCCAAAGCCACACGGCAAGTCCAGGGTACAGCCCTGGCGCCCACAGCCCTGGGCTCTGCCCGGAGAAACAGTGAGCTTCTTCCTGTCTAGGTTGCTGTTTAAAACCTGCTGGGCCAGGGCAACTTGGCACAACCCATTCCACTCCACCAAGACCTGATGCAGCCCAGATCTGAGCATGGGAGACCAGACCAGGGCAGGGACCTGCTGGAAGTGGCCATCGGGTCTGGCCAGCTGTCAGGAGTGGAAGGAGATGTGATCCACTGTAACCACAGCTGCCGCCTGCGCTGAGCACTCGGCTGGTGCAGGCGCGGTGCCCAGCACCCACTCGGTCACTTCCAGTCCTTATCCTGCCAGAGAGGGTTACTCCTGCCAAGCGGAGGCAGCCACTGAGGCTCTGCCGCACCGTGAAGTGTCCAGGGCGGAGCTGAGGGTCAGGGTGGGCTGGCTCCAGGCACCAGCAAAAAGGGCCAGCACCTTTCTGTACCACCCATGCTTCATCCACTCAAATCCAAAACCAGACCTGATGTAAGTGCTAAATGATGGGTCTTAAGCAGCACAAAGTAGCAATTCAGGAAACACAGACTGGTAGTGGTTTGTGTAAGATTAATTTCCTGCAGGGAACAATGGTAAAATCTGAGAAAAAGACATGCAAAACAGATTTGTTTGCAAGTCCTAAAAGACTGACCAAAACCAGGCAGAAACTGGACAGGCTGTGCCCCTATGAAGGGAACCATACAAAGACATATTTTTCTGGCTCCCCACAGGACGCTCCTAATCTACAAGCTATGAGGAGGGAGCTGGACCAGAAGGCACAAGTCCTGCTGGCTCCAGAGGAGGGAACTAGAATTCAGGGCCTCCCTGGCAGCTAGAAATCGGGAGAAAAATGCTCAGGACATGGAGAAAATGCCCAGATCCATAGCTGACTCTGGCACGGGAAGGACAAAGAGGGAAAAGCGTTTCTGGAAAACACAGATGAGCAGCAATTTCCTGTAGCTGTTTCAAAGAGACAAATTTTAGCTGAATTTCAGTAAGCTATAGGAGCTCAGTAAACACAGGAGAATTTTTACGGAGATCTTGGGAGACCATGGTTTAACAGTAAGAATCAAAATATACCTGGCCTCATAGATGCAGGACCACCCAAGCCAGGTAAATGGTCAGCACCTAAACAGAATAGAAGAGAACGACAATGCCCAGCATAAAATAAAAAATTACTAGACACTGTGAAGCAATGGGGGAAATGATACACTGTTAATATTTTTTACAAGAAGAAACAGGCTCATGCATTGAAATTAGTAGGCAGATTATATATCATTACAATAAAATTTTGTTTGTTAGGGTTTTTTGAGCCATGGTCTCACTATCTCAGACTGGCCTTGAACTCACTATGTAGCCGAGGATACCCTCAAACTCACAATGATTTTCCTGCCTCCGCCTTCCAAGTGCTGAGATTATAGGAATGTGCCGCCACACCTGGCTACAATAAAACTATTTAAGAAGCTAGAGGAAAAGACAACTATAATGGATAAAAAAGGGAAATTCCAGGAGAGTCCTAATATTCTAGGGACTCTCACACAAAACACCACATCTGATTTGCTTAAAGCAATAGAAATGCATTTTCCATAGCTCCAGAGGCCTGAAATTACGGGCTGTATCAGGACTGGTTCCTTCTGAGGGCTCTCTGGGGGAATTTGTTCCGTATATTGGTCCCTCCTATATTCCAGCACCAATTAGCAATGGCTTTTGTGCCTTGACTTATACATAAACCACTCAGAGGCATCTGCCATGTCTCTATCCTCCTGTTCGAACCCCAGGCTTGTGAGCCACCCCACCTTAACTGATTCCAATATTAGTGCCCATGCTTCCAGATATGGTCACAGGCTAATGGAAAGAGGGCAGGACTACAATGCATCTGTGTGAGGGGAGCATAATTAAAGCTAAAACAGAAGGAGATTCAGAACTGTTTTTTAAAAAATCAAATCAATTTTTTTGGTCTTTTTTGAGACAAAGTTTCACTGTGCAGTTCAGACTGGCCTTGAAGCTACAGCTGGTTTCAAATCAAATTCTAAACGGACAGTTCAATATGTGAAACTGAACATTCATGGGGAAAGATTAAAAGCATGTTAGATTTGCCAAATGTGATGGCACACTGGGTAATGCCAGGACTCAGGAGGCTGAGGCAGGAAGAGATGTGAACTCGAGGCCAGCCTGGGCTACACAGCACACACTGTCTCAAACGAAACAAAACAAGACAGCTAAAAGCATGTGAGACTCAACCTAAAGAGGAAAACAGATAACACAAATCATAACAAAATTCGTGCACCCACAAACGTAAGATGAACGGGACCTCAGTAAGCATCTAACAGGCATAGTGTTACAGTCTCAGTGGAGGAAAGAGAAATAACGAATCAGAAAGAAATGCTAGGGGCTGGGGATTTAGCTCAATGGCATAAGCACCTGCCATGCAAGTGTGTGGTCGTGAGTTCATTCCCCGGTACCCATAAAAAAAGAAAAAGACAAAAAAAAAAAAAAAAGAGAAATGTTTGAAAAAGTTTTTGATGAAATATTGACTGAGAGAGAATATTTCAAGCTTGAGTGCAAAAAACCAACCTACATACTGAGAAAGTTGAGAGAAGCCCAGCAAGATGAACACAAAGAAAATCCTATTTATGGACATCTTGGTTGGGTTTTGAGAACCAGAAATAAAGAAAAACCTGGAAAAGCAGCTGAGGGAAATTAAAAATAAGGAAACAAACATGCAGAAGACTGCAGATTTCTAATGAAACAATGCAAGCCGGAAGACATTGGAACAGCATTGCACAGTGATTAGAACAAGAAACTTGTAGTTTTACAACGGTATCTGTGACAGTATCATTCAAAACGGAGAAATAAATTTTTTAGACAAATGCAGTAGATGATTTGCTACCAACAGACCTGAAGTGTAAGAAACACTAAATAAAGGTCATTAAGCAAAAGGGAAATGCTGCTGGAAGAGGTTCAGATTTACAGAAAAGTTGTACAAGGAATAGTAAATACGTGAATAGATACAAACACCATTTTTATTTCCTTAAATTTTTTTTTCTTTTTTTGCATTTTTGAGACAGGGTCTCGCTGTGCAGTTCAGGTTGGCCTTGAGCTCATTTTGTAGCCCAGGCTGGCCTCAAACTTGCAGCAATCCTCCTGCCTCAGCCTCCCAAGCGCTGGGATTATAGGCCACTCATGCCCAGTTTAACGTTTTTTTTTTTTTTTTTTTTTTTTTTTGTCTTTTTTCTTTTTATCGGTACCAGGGATCGAACTCAGGACTGCCTGCTTGCAAGGCAGGCACTTATGCCGCTGAGCTAAATCCCCAGCCCTACTTTTTTTTTTTTTTTTTTGAGACAAGGACTTACTGTGGAGCCCAGGCTGGCCTTGAGCTCACAGTGATTCTCCTGCCTCAGCCTCGAGTGCTGGGATTGCACCTGTGTGCTCTCAAACCCAGCTATCTGAGCTAAATTTTATTTATTTTTTTGGTACAGGGAATCAAACTCAGGACCTGGCACTTGCCAGGCAGGTGCTTACGCTGCCGAGCTACACCCCAGCCCTGAGCTTATTTTTAGTGTGGGTCCTGCTTTCTCTGGAGCTTGTTCTTGTGCCAACCGCTCATCCAGCATCCCGTCCAGCGCTCCCCACTCCCCAGTCCACCTGCACTGGACACTGCCTCTCAGAAGCAGGAAATGACCCGTCTTCCTTTGCCCGCCCGCAGCAGGGCAGGGGGATCCAACACCCAAGGTTGGGTCTCCAAACGCCAACTGGAGCTGGACTTTCCTGAGGCTGTCTGTCAGCAGCAGTGTCCAGCTGGGTGTCTTGCCTCCGCGTGGGAGGTGAGAGGATCCCAGGACACTGGGCTCCCTGGCAGGTACCTTGAGTGTGCAGTGAGGGGCCCGCGGCCCGGAAGAGCGGGTTCTGATGCCCGGCTCCTCCCTTCTCCCTTGCTTCCTGTGGCCTCCTCTGCCCTCCTGACCTGTGGAAGCAGCTGACCTTGGACACTGGGAGCCAAAAAGAGTCTTTCCTTTCCAGTGCGGGGTTCAGGTGGTGACCGAGGCTGGGTCCTAGAGTCACCGTTCTCTGCAGGCTGCAGAAGCGGCCTGGTCTCCAGCAGTCCTGTGATCCCCAGAGGTTAGCTCCCCTGAGCACCCTGAGTCTGGGCAGCAGCTTCCATGTGGGGCGAGGCCATGTCCAGGAGCTGCAGCAGGAAAAGGGCGCTGTGGGTCCCCAAGCCTCCCTGCTTATCCCCTGGGCCACCTCCAGCCCCCAGGGCCCACATCTAGTGTGGTTTCCAGGGGCTTCCTGGCTCCTGGGGCCTTCAGGCTCCGGGCCACCAGCCCTCCTCCCTTGGAAGGCGCCCACACCCTGATGTTTGATCCCACACTGCCCCCCCCCCACGCAAACAGAACCCTCTGGGCTTCTGCTGTGAGAGTGGCCTGAAAGCTGATGGCCGCCCAGGCCTGAGTTAGCCACTGCTCCTCTATCTCATGTCAGGAGGCGTTGGGATCTTTCTCAGGTTGGGGCTGTGCTGAAGAGTGCCCGTATGACCGTCCCAGCCGCTTCTGGGTTCTTGTCTGTTCTGTGGGCTTTGTGTGTGCCCTTCAGATGCTCCATCCCCAGTGCTTCTTATTTTTTGCTGGGTACCAGGGATCGAACTCATGACCTCGCACTTGCCAGGAAGGCGCTTGTGCTGCTGACCCAAATACCTGGCCCCTTTATTTATTTTTTAAAATCGGTACCAGGGATGGAACTCACAACCCCACACTTGCAAGGCAGGTGCTTATGCCTCTGAGCTATATCCCCAGCCCCTAATTTTTTGAGATACCAAATCACAGAGTTATCAGC